CCCCCCCCCGCCTCACCTCCTCCCCCCCCGCCTCCACTCAAATCCCGGGTTTCAAAAATTAAAGCAGCTGCTTTAATTCTTGCGAGTGGCAATTATGCATCTATGATGATGAATATGGATTCAGATGGAACCGACCTCTGAGCAACAGAGAGTTTGGAACCGTGTTGAACCGGAATGTCTGCTCTTTGCATCATTATGCCTCTCCTCCTCCCTCTCCTCCTTCCCCACCTCCTCCTCCCCCTCTCATCCCTCCTTCCCTCCTCCTGTCTTTGTTTTTCAGAGAGCAGATCAGCCGGCGGTGCAGTGTCTGTTTACATTTGTCTGACAGAAGCAGAGGGCGCAGTACCGATGCCGCACAGCCAGTCGTCATGCTCGGAGAACGCTCCCCTCACTGCGGAGCGCTGAGATGTTCCAGCTGAAGAGCGAGCGTGTCACATCACATCAGCAGACCGTTTACAGAGCCTGTGGGTGGGTGGTCCCCAGCCCCCTCCGGTCCCGATAAAGGACACCAGGAGTTAACTCGTCCCTCAGCGCTTTTTTTCCCCCCGTCTCCCAGCAGCCCCTCCGGGCGATCCACGACGACCCAAGATGGAGTGGTCACTGGAGAACGTGAGGGAGATGCTGGCGGGGGGGATGCAGTCCATCAGGGAGTGCGAGGTCTGCGCTCTGGCCATCGGCCTGTGCCTGCTGCTGCTCTTCATGTGGTACTGTTACAGAGTGGGCCGGGAGCACAGCTCCAGCCCCCTGCGTGGGCGGTATCTGAGTGGGCCCAGCCGGATCGGAGGAGTGGTGGGGGGCTTCATGAGTTCGGACTGTCGGAGCAGGGGGAAGGGGAAACACGGATCCATGTTGGAGGAACAGAACGGTTTCGCGTTTTGCCAGTCGTCGGAGTGTTTCCGCTGCACGAGCAGCGGCGAGAGTCTCAACCAGAGGCTCTACCACAGCCTGCAGGACTACGCCAAGCGGTACACCTGGTCGGGTATGGGCAGGGTGCACAAAGGAGTCCGTGATCAGGGTCGGTACCTGAACAGCCGACCGACCATCCAGAGGCCCGAGGTCTTCTTCCTGCCCGACCTGCCCTCGGCCCCGTTCTTCTCCAGGGAGATCCAGAGACACGACGTGGAGCTGCTGGAGCAGAGCTTCCCCGCCCTTCTGTCGGAGTTCGAGAGCATCTACCACCAGCCGCCGGCCCGCAGCGGATCCGCCCTGCCTCCTGGCTGGAAGGTCAACAGCACGCCCTATGGCCAGTGGTGGACTTACTACCTGGTGAACCAAGGCACTCCCCTGGTCCTCAACGTCAGGCGATGTCCTCGAGCATGGCGGGTGCTGGGACAGCTGCGGACCTTCATTGCCAACAACGTCTTCGGCAACGCCTGCTTCTCGGTCCTGACGCCTGGAGCTCTGATCACTGAGCATTACGGTCCCACGAACGTCCGGTTGCGCTGCCACCTGGGTATGAGGTCTAACTAAGCCCTCCCTTGACTTTGACCGACACTGCGGTTCTTGTGACAGAAAGTCTGTATCACGTTGGTGGTAAAACTGTCTCCTCTGTCCTCTGTCCCTCAGGTCTTAAAGTACCTCCGTCCTGTGAGCTGGTGGTGGGTGGAGAACCACAGTGCTGGTCTGAGGGCAGCTGTCTCCTCTTTGACGACTCCTTCCTCCACCGGGCCTTCCACGAGGGTGAGGTTCCATTTTTTTATTACTATTAATGGAGGATACAGATGGCGCTAATGATTAACTCAACGCACAGTATGATACTATTTTATCGACATTTTTGTGTGTTTGTGTGCATAGGCAGCGCCGACGACGGCCCCAGGGTGGTCTTCATGGTGGACCTGTGGCACCCCAACGTGGCCGCCGCCGAGAGACAAGCCTTAGACTACATTTTTACTCCGGGCCGTTTAGAGGACAGAGAAGAGAAATAGAAGAAGAGACAGACGGCTGTCAGGGGAGGGAGGGGGGAGGGGGATATGGTTGGGGGGAGATGAAGGGTATGTGGGGATGGGTGCGTTCTTCCCCTCGGGACTATCTTTCACGTTCACTGTGTAAATACTCTCTAACTCTTAACACTGTTCGGAGTTTGATTCCTCCAGCAGTCGCACCTGTCTGTTTACATCAACTCTGATTGGTCCTCACACTTCCTGTCACTTTCCGTTTTTCAAAACGTTTCACTTTTTGTTTGTTTATGTTTGGAGTCAGATGCATAGGACAACAACACGGTGGAGAACTCCCACAGTTGGTCGGAGGTTCTCAACCACTGGATCGCGGACTGGTAATGGGTCACCGTGACCTTTGACATCATTTAGAGCAGATGTTTATTGAACATTTTGGAGCGTTTTTTTTTTTTTGTTTGTTTTTATCAGCCATTTCTGTTGATGCTTCAGCCAATCAGAGATGGCTGTCAATCATATGATGTCATATCTCAGTGGACCCCCGCCCCCCGATTCCCTCCCGCCCCACAAGGTTGTACAGAGAACTGCTCCACCTTCCTGAGGACCCTTGAAATCACAAGTCAGTGAGTGAAGATGAATTGATCACTCTACTAATGCTAACAGCATTAGTAGAGTGATCTACTCCGTAGACGGAGAAGGGAGACCATGGGACACCATGTGTAAATGGACCATCGGTCGGAGAGCCTGGTTGTTGGGACTGTTGGTTGATGATAAAGAACTGGTTTCATTTTATTTCATTTGACTGTTTATTTCAGTTGCTGTCGGGGGGAGGGGGGGTCATTGAGTGGATGGGGGGTACGTCAAGGTGTCCGTGTTTGAGAATCAGTCCTGTTTTCACAGGACGTGGTTAGAAAAGCACATTTTTATGACAAACTGTGCCGTGTGTGAGTTCTGTGTCCCCTGAGGAGGAGGGAGGCGGGGAGAGGGTGGGAGGAAGAACTTTTGTAAAGGGATGGTTGGGTTTTTTTTGTATCAGGTTTTGTACCAGGAGGTGTTGAAACTCTGACCTTTGGCGTCTTTGTCTTGATTTCCTGCCATTCTCACCGCTGACCACGGGATTTGTAAATTCTGTACAATGTTTCTTCTTCTTCTTCTGAACGTGTCCTCTTCGTCGCTCTGTGATGATTTCACCCACCATCAAAACGCCGCCGCCCACCCCCCGCCGGCCGCCACAGTATACCGTGTTAACGTAGTGATCATGAATGTCTAGCAGCTTTACGGTCCGCGGCGGCTCACGGGACGACGACGACAACAACGTCACCCAGCGACCGGTGTTTACAAAGCCCTAACGAGTTGTTTACAGCATTATTAGACGAAGCCGACACTCACATTGAGCTGTCCATCGACGATCAACAGTGCTCTTAGTCCCCGCACCAGTGTGTCGTCCTCCAGCCTCTGCTGTGCACCCCACGTTTTTGGACGAAAGACTTTTCTCACACACGTTCTCCCGTGGGTTTTCAACAGTATTTCTGTACCTTCAATAAATGTTCCAGTAAATTATTTAAACACGGCGTCAGATTGATCACTGGACTCTGCTGCTGAATGAAGGGGGGTGGGGGCCAGGAGGGGGCACTACCACCAACACCACCTCTGTAGACCAACCATATTCAACCACCAACTGATTCATCTCATCCTAGTGGTAATCACGTTCCTTTACGGACCGCTAGAGGGAGCTCAAGTACCATCGTTAGTGAACCACTGCAGCAGAGCGACATCTGCCGTCAACCTTAGAAAAAAAGGGGAAGATATTTTTCATATCTGCCATTAAGAGACTACTACATATATATATTTATATGTATTAGTAATTAATTAATTTTATTATTTAATTATCAATTAATTTTATTGAATAACCAGGGTTCATATTCATTAATCTTAATTAATTCATCTCCAACTTGGTCTCTCTCGGTGGTTTTACTATTTTTGCAGTATACTGCAGTGCCACTAGAGGGAGCCCAAGTACCACCAGCAGTACATGTACCAGGGTTTGAGAACCACCGAGTTAGTTTGTGTTCAAAAATGTCTTTTTTTTGGCATTTGTTCAAGACTCCAACGTTCCTCAGGGTGGAGTACCGTTCTGCTCCACACGGTGTTATTTTTTTTTCATGTCGTCGGAAAGTTAGCCAACCACCTCACAGCTCTCCACACCTGCGTCACTGCTGATAGTCAGAGA